ATTATAGTATAATATGTATGTTGCAAAATTTGGACCCTAGAGTATTTTATTCTTTCACAACAGCAGTCACAAGCATTTCCCTCTGCTATTAACTATTCCTAGAAAATATTATTTTAATGAATGTACAGCATTTCATTGCATGAATCTCTCAGATTTATTTATTATAACAATATTGTAATGAGCATGATTAAACAGAAATCTTTAGCCTCTGATTATTTCCTTAGCATAATTCCTAGAAGAAGAGTGTTTTGAGAACTGTGAATATTTTCCAGGCACGCAATATTTATTCTGAAAGGGCAGGGCAGTAGCTTATGTTGTATTAAAGATTGGTTCAGCCAAAACCATTCACTTGGGGAGTGAGGCTGAGGGGTAAGAGATACACTGATGAGAAGGAAAAAGAGAAGAAAGAACTGAAAAATGGGGAAAAGCTTCTGATTTAGAAATGAGTTAAGCCAAGGATGAGCGGTGCTCCTAAGACGCTGTCAAATTGTGACAGCCTGTTTCTCTTTTTCTTTCTTTAGCAGGTCCTCAAGTCTCCCCTTACATAACTCCCCTCCCAGCTCTGGTTAATTCACAAAGGGAATAGGAAAGTTGCTATCTGCCTGTGCAAACTCTTGTTACTCCCCCCAAGGCAGGAAGGACACTGTCCCCTCACATATGCCACAGAAGGACTTGCCAAGGAGCTTGAAGCCACAATTCATGACTATTCTGTGGACCATCGCTTATGAGAACAGAGTTTTGTTGAGGCATGTGTGGCCAAGCGGTCCCAGTCCTTCTCTTCTGCTCAGATTCTTAGAGAGGAAAGGGCTCCATGGGACAGCCTCCATTTAATCGTCAGTTAAGTCATCCATCTTTGCTGTCAAATCCTCATTATACTAAAACTTATTCTTCCACGAGGACACTGAGTTGGAAGACTTCCACAGCGTTTTCTCTTGTCCCTGGTCTCGTCTGTGTTCTAAGTCTCGGAGAGCTGGCCACAATCTTCCTGACTGAGCCTTCCGGGAATGGCCCTCCTGTCTGCAGTCGGTATCCTCACTGCACTCCCCCGAAATGCCCTGCGAGTGTAACCAGCTGGAAACTGAGTCAGCAGCTTGATGCTGGCATCCTCTTCTCCTTCCACCAGGAAACCTAGGCTTCTGCCTGCGTGTTTTTTTTTTCCCTATGTGCTTTAGAAGGCTGGTCAAGTTTGACTCATGAAACCATTTGACTCACCCAATATTATTGAACAGGTATTATGGGTCAGGCACTCTGTTAGTTTCTAAATGTAAATACCCACCCTCAGGAAATATCTAGATTTAGTGAGTCAGATAAATATACAAATAAAAATTATAGTAGATTTGTATAAGGATGCTATCAGGCATAAGCCCAGGGTACCAGAGAGAAACGTTTAAATTGAAATGGGAGGTAACAGAGGCTTTTCAGAGGAAGGGGAAGGGGGCCTGAATGAGGCATGGAGGGGAAGAGGGGTGAGGAGAAAGTGTTCATGGAGGAAATGATGGCGGGGAAAAGGCAGGGTCCTTGGGACCACATGGAATGATGGGGAGGGTTGCCAGATTTAGCCAACAAAAATTCAGGGTTCCCAGTTAAATTTTAATTTCAGATAAACAAAAATCAATATTTTGATGTATGTCCAACTCACTATTTGGAGAATACCAATATTAAAACACTATTTGCTTTTTTATCTGAAATTCAAATTTCACTGGGTGGCCTGAATTGCTCAAGGAACAGATAGGGATTCACGGAATAAAGATGCGGTCAGAAGAGAGGGGCAGGGTTCTGATCATGAAGCGCCACTCAACAGTCACTAAACTTGGTCCTAAAAGCATTATTGATCATTGGCAGATTTAAAGCAGGGCAATAATGACCATATGTGCATATAAAGGCCTCCTGGGCCTGTAGGTGGGGCTTGAATGCAGGTGACCGAACTGTGGAGGTGCTCCAGGCGAGGAGGAGGCATGTCAGAATCTAGGCAGGGGAATTTTCTGGACGAATTTCCCCCTCTGAGTACTGACTTCTCCGGTGTCATTCTGAAGGGTCATCTATAGAAAAGGTGTCCTAGATCACCTTTGATATTGGCCAAAGTGGCCAGAGGTCTTAGGTTGAGGACACCGAGACCCAGTAGGTAGAGCATGCTCTGACGGTAGCAGGAAAGGACCCTAACATTTCCTAAGCATGTCAGACGGGCCTGACAGTACAGTTTTTTTTTATTCCAATGGATTTTTATGCATACAGATTAGACAAGGCACCACAAGGAAGCCGGACTTGGTGAGCTCCTCATTGGTCCTTCGGGGCAGCAGAGCCCCTGATACCTTGCAGCTCGCCAGGCCACATGACTGCTTGGGGCCCGCGGCTAGACTGAGCACCAGGTCGCCTGATTGAGTGCTCTTTCAACAGCGCCTCTTGTTTTCCTGGGCAGCCTTGGTTGATGAACCAACAGCAAACTTGGGAGCAAGGTGTGCAGCCGGACACTAGGGAGCCGGGAGAGGGGCAGAGTCAGCCCCTAGGGAATGAGCACAAGATGCTGCCAGATCGTGAAGAGCCTGCTGTCTGGCGGAGGAGGTCACAATGGACATGCGTAGCCATAATACAGTTTGGCCTGAGATAAATGCTCTAAATGTAAACAAACTGCCTTGAGATCTCAAAGGAGGGAGAGATTTATTTGGAATGTGGAGGCTAAGAATGACTTTATAGGAAAAATGCACTTCGCGCCGGGCTCTACAGAATCGGGCGCTGATGACAAGGGACTAGAGAAGAGCCATCAAGTCTTTGTTAAGTCCAAAGTAGTTCTGTGTGCCTAGGCCATACACAAGCCTTCAGGGAGCGACTGAGAATGACAGGTGTTAACAGGGGGAAGGTGATGCTTTGCAAAGAATCTTGAAAGCTCTGACAAGAAGTTCGGCCAGTATTCTGCAGACATGAGAAATTATCAAGTTTGTAAGCCGGACAATAACCTGATTTCCTCTCATTCCCCGATCTGTCTGCCTGCCCATCTCACTGTTCATTCTCCCTCCCCCTGGTGTGATTCCTTCCTTCCCCGACCCCGGTCTCCTGTTCCCCATCATAGTAAGTGACATGTTTTTCTTAGCAGCTACTCAGCTTTAAACTCCCAAATTCAAACTTTTAGAGATCTTTAGAATTTTTTACGTTTCCTTCTCACACAACGATAAAAGCAAACATTGCATGAATCTGACTCTTAGGAGACTTTTTTCCCAAGAGGGTCAGTGATTCCTAACAGGAAAAAACACAGTTTCTCCTGACTTGTTTTCAAATTTCCTAACTCATCGTCTGAACAAGCATCACCAACGCTGAAATTCTTGGTATATTATTATTAAATTCTATCATCTCATTGATTTATTATCTCTTTGTTACACCAGAGATAGAGAAGATGAGCATCTGACCCACTGTTATAAATGGTAACAATTAGACTCATCGTGTGGTTTCTTTGAGCATCACAAAGGAGATTAGCACAGAGCCCAGTAACAGCACTGGCCACAGAAGCCAGGGTAATAAAACACAATCACTAAACCAATAATAAGTTCTCAGGGTACATTGTTTCCCCGGCACTGACCAGCAGTTCATTTTAGCACAATAGCATCTCATTCCTGAATGATGTAGGGCAGGTAGAACATGCTTACTGCCTACTGTTTATTCACTCACTCAGATCTCCATGTGTATTCTGACCCCTAATACTGAAATTGCTATTGAGGTTTATATTCCCTGCTATCAGCTCGGCATTAGCAAGCTGGAAAAGAAGAAAGAAAACAGCCTCAGATTTGCAGAACTTATTGTCTGCCATACCCACTTGTGTCAATGAGGCTGAGCAGCTGGCTCAGAGCTCTTATCATACCACCATCTGTAACTCAGGGGGAAAACAAATATCTCTGAGTTTTCAAAGGGTAAAGAGAATACAATTGTATCTGTTAGGTGTTCAAAAGCTTTGACAAGAGAAGCCTGTCAGACATCATCAGCATAAGCCAGTCCACACGCAGACTGTGGACACATGGCCCATTTAAGTTGTCAGCCTAAAAGATCCAACCATTATTTGCAAGTCTGCATAGCAAAGGCCAGTTGTCATTGTCACGGTCTCAGGAATATTGCTTAGGGACTGGTGTCCCCACTGTTTAAACTTACATGGCAGTGTGCTTTGCAGGGGAAACAAACAAGAATTTATGTATGTATATATCTGATACTGATTCATACATAGTAGACCACACATTATATTACATGATTCTCTTGATGATATAAGAATTTCCGGACTGTCCCTGCACTTTCCTTCTCCGTTTGACAACCTCCAACTTCCTCCCTTCCCAGGATTGAAGTTTTTGGAATCTCTGTGTCAACCATAAAATATATTTTATAATATAAGCCTAACTAACACATTATAATACTTGGTGTTATAACATAGAAAACAGGAAAGAAGACCCTAATAAATTGGGGTGGGGTGGGGGGAACGACAATGTTTTGGGAAGGAAAAGTTATAAAAAGATACCAGTTTTTCCCAAACAAATATATAAGACCATTCCAATCAAAGTCATAAATGGTTTTCTCCTCCTTTTTGAAACATTACAAAATGATATTAAAAGAATAAATAGGCAAGGATCATTAAGGTTTTTTTTTCAAGGAAGGTAACAAGCGGGAACTTTTTCTACCACAAATTAAAATGAGTTCTGTAGCAACAAAAATTAAAACCAGTGTGGTACCTGTGCAAAAACAGGTCGATGAACAATGGTACAGTCCACTGAAATGGTACAGTCCAGGCAGGAGAGTCCACATGTTTTGTTCATGACTGTTTTATTCATCCTTATGTCTCTACAGTGCCTGGAACACAGTAAGCATTTGTAGTATAAATGGAATAAATGAGGTAGCACAATAAAGCGATACAAACAGTATCAGAATATAAATACATAATACATACAACATATGAGAAAGATAGAATAATAAAACAGTGAAAAACAAATATTTTATTCAACAAGTATTGAGAAAATTGACACTTAGGGAAAAAACACACTTTTAATCATCACAGAATGCACAAATAGAACTTGAATTCATCTATAATTAAAGTATAAAATAGAATTCATAAAAAAACTAGAAGAAAACATAGATGAGTATATTTTTGATTTTGGGTTGGGTAGGGGGGTCTTAGAGGGAGGGGAGGAGGACTTTCAATATTTGAAAGAAATGTCAGTATCACAAAGGAAAGCTTATTTCCACTGTCAGCACTTGGGGTCTCTGCATATGGCTACATGCGTACACATAACACAGCTTCAAGAGCGGCCGTGCAGGTGAGGATGAGTCCCTCGTTGGCCTGTCTCATGCAAAGCCCCTCCTTGGACTTGGAGGCCCACTACTGCGGGTGTAAATCAACCTCTTTTACTCAGCGACCAATTAGGCCCACACAAGGTACCTACTAGGGCTCTCTAGTCCAACAGCCCACTCTCACCTCCTTGGGAGTCTTTCAAGAGTCTCAGCAAATCGCAACACTCGTGCACCCCACGTGACTTGGGGTTTCAGGAGATGCATGGTGAGGTGGCGTTCATCTCAGTCTCTCTACCTGAAATGCCCCTTTTCCACTTCTACCCGGCTGAAGAAACACCGTGTCACTGTGTGAGGGGAAGTGAAGAAGCCAACTTTTCTAGACAGCGTGCTCTAGACTAAAGGTCAGCAAACTTTTTACACAGAGGGCCAAATGATGTATATTTCAGGCTTTGCAGGCCACATTGTCCCTGTTACAACTACTCCACTTTACCACTGTAGCAGAAAAGCAGCCATAGGCAGGATTTAACCAGCCAGCAACAGTTTGCTGACCCTGAGCCAGACCAGAAACTCATCGAGAATGCAGAGGATGTCTAGGTCTCCTGAAACTTCTACACAGAGTTTCACCACCTTCCATTCATAGCCAGTCAGTGATGTCTGTTTAAAAATTAAATGAATAAAAGAATAAATGAATGCGTTCCCTACCACTGCCTAAGAAATCTATCTATCCATGCCTTTTAAAATTGATCTTTACTTTTTCAAAAGACTCGGTTGCATCTTTTAGAGTTTAGGTCTGCAAGCATACTCCCTCCTGGGCTTGTACGAGTTAGGATTTAGTCTGGGCCTTCTCCATAGCTTCAAAGCCCCTTTCAGAGCCGAACTAAACTGAGTGACCCCTGAGCCCCGAGACCGGTCCTCACAGAGGAAGCGTGGGAAGTTATATTCCGTCAGGACCTCAGAGACCAAACCAGCTCTAACCAGGAGGAAAACTGAGGGATCTTGGCTGGATATCACTGACATGAGGAAACTAAACTTTCTCTGGCAGCCTGGGACCCTTTGAGGCTTCCGAGGTCCCTATGGGTGGGAGACGTTAGGCAAGACCCAAGCACATTCACTTATAAGAAGCTATAAAGACCAGCTAGGAGGGATGTAGCTGGTTGCCTGCAGTGCCAGCTTCCAAGCCTCCACTCCCAGCATCAGCCTGTCTCATTCCTCCTGCGATCTTTGTTCCCCATTTTTGACCCACCCATAACCTGAGTCACTGTTAGAGCCTCTATCTCCTGCTCCCCAGCAATCACCAGGCATCAGCCCTATTTCATATCACCTCTTAAAGCAGTCCTACAGGGGAGCATGTGGCCTGAGGATCCCTGGTGATCAGGTCATCTCACGTGTTCTGGACCCACTGATTCTCACATCAATATCCTTGTCCCCAGCTATGCTGCAGTCATCATAGGTGCATGAGCATGGATGACATCCAACCTGCCAGGCAAGGTCCCAGGTTTGTCACGACTGCTTCTGGCATTGTGCGGGTGCAGCTGCAGGCAGATGATGCTCTCTCTGAGCCAATAAGCTTGAGCAACTGAAAAGCCTGAGAATAAAATGGTTCCTTTATCAATTCCTTGGGTTCTACAAGTCAATGCAATTCAAGCAACTATCTGAACTCTCACTATATGCTAGAACTGTACTAAGTGCTTTACAGTCATCATAGAATAATACCCACAACCCTATTATCACCTACCTCTATTTTACAACGACGCCATGGCCCAGAGAATTAACGAACTTGATTTAACATCCCACAGCTAATAACGGGGACTAATCAGTTTGACCGGAGTGTGGCTACGCAGTCTTCATGCTAAATCCCATAGTATAATGCCGCTCTACTGGTGTCTGCCCTTTTTCAAAAACTTTCTAGTAACATATTCAAGATTATTTCAATGACTATGTTTTCACAACACTTAACTAAGAAACCACATTTTCTTTTTCACAGAGATTTCAAACAATATTTGTCGGTGTTTTTTAGCTTGTTTATTTGAATAACCACTACTAGTCATCAAGGAATCTTCTTTATATAAAATGTTAAAAGTACTTCAATATTTCTGAATGATATCAAGAAATACTATGAGTGATGCCCACCTTATGATCTGAGGAGAAATTGGAATGGAAAGAAGCTATCAGAGAACATATTCCTTAGAATAATAGATCATAAAAAATACAAAATATTTAGCCACGTAAGTAAAACATAGTGGTTAGTTTTACCATATCAATACGATGCAGCCAAGTGAGTTATCAAACGTTGTGACATACTTAAAGAATTAACCTTTTTTTTGTGGAAGGTGGGGGTTACATCTGTTTCTTGTTTACGAGTTAGGTTTAGTCTTTTGGGAAGCTCTTTGGGAATTATCTATAGTTTGTTTTCAATCACCATCACACGCAACAAAGGTACCCAAATAATCATCATTTTCACTTAAAAGACTTTCAGGATTAGGTACATTGGCTAGTAAGTATTTTCCAGCAATGGCAAGCCAGTCGCACAGATGGATCTTAGTCCAGACTCAACTCTCTCCCGACAGTCCTTAATCAGCTGCAGCTTCTTTTCAGAGGTGTTGGCAAGAATGAACATTTTTAACGGTAATTATCACAATATTACAATATGACAACCTGTGGTTATTTAGTAAATATGATGATCATCCTGGATCCTTAAACAGAACATTTCATGGACACAATTAATAATTTATAGGCACAAAAAAAGAAAATCCAAAAGTATTTTTTCTAGGGTGATGGAAATGTCCTAAAATACGATTGTCATCCTGATTGTACAACTCTGCATACATTAAAATTCATTGAATGTTACACAAAATGGATGGATGTTATGGTATGTAAAGTATATTCCAGTAAAGCTGTATTTTAATAAACGAAAATATAGGAGGGGGGAAAATAAGACAAAATGTTGCTAAGGCTTTTAAAAATTACTCTCGTTACTAATTATCATTTGCTGATGAAGGCAATGAACATCATCTCCCTCCATCTGCCCAGTCCTCTGGGGAGGACCTCGCCCCGTCTAGAGGGTGCAGGGAAGACCGCGCCGCAGGTTCCTGGTCCTGAAGAGCAGGGGCAGGTGCAAATCAGATTTCTGACCGGACTCCTGAGACAGTGCTGTGTTCTACAATTTCCTTCATTCTGGACACCGATATTATGTAAACCTAATTTAAAATATTGGATAATTAGTCCAAATCCTCACCTAACTAGCATTTGAGTCAGCAGCCTCATGAGAAATTAAAATGTATTTGAAGTGTGGAGTAACAGCAAATCAACAGGCTGAAATCCCCTCCCTGCCAAAAAACCTCAGAGGTCGCCTTTGTCCTTCACCCGTGGGCTCCATCCTGAGGTGCTGGAAGGGTGGCGTCTTGCTCCAAAGGCACCTCGAAAGGCTGCACCACCAGAGCCCATCAGAGGTGTGACCTCAGCCTGTGAAACACAGATCTACATGGCCGATCCTGAAGTTTATTAAAAAACACAATCTCCTATAGAACAGCGGTGAATCGGTGGCACCAGTGTGGGTTTTGTGCAGGCTTGAGACTTTTCCCTAGGAACCTGCAGGCACAGGAATTCAAAATACTGCCTTTTGGCCTCTGACCTCTGGCTGTTGATGTTTGCTCTCCCTTCTGTTTGGAACATTCTCCCTAATCTTTTTATCCAAACTGCGTATCTGCAGTTCTCTCTTCTAAAGCATCACCTGGGGGCAGCCTGACTTGACCTGCATGCCATTCCCATGCTCACTGGGAGCCCGTGTGCTCCGGGAGCCCACAGTGGGCAGGTGCAGCTCCCCACACCCGTTCCTGTGGATGTGGCTTAAAGCCCAGCGAGGGAAGGGGCGTGTCTGCCCTTGACTCGCCAGCACAGCACAGGGGAAAGCAGGGACCCCAGTAACAACCATTACTGAGCAACAGCCTAAACTTACATGGTGCAGGAGATTTCAAGTATTTGTTTTGTTTCATTTGGGGTTTTTGTTTGTTTTTGTTTCTGTATTTTGCAGACTATAGTCCCTGTCGGTAAATTGTTTAATCTATGTGAACAATGATACAATGCTAATATAATGTGGCAGGTATATATACATACATGTTAATTGAGACATACATAAGATACAATGGTAACACAAACTCGATTTACTCTCTATATTCACTTCTATTAAAATAAATAAAATTAATAATATGAACCAAAAATTCAGTAGGGAAGTCTTAGTTACTCCTAAGGTAACTCCTAAGACTGTTTATCTCCTTTCAGATATCACTTGATACCAATGCAGTAACTGCACTTCGTGGACACAAGAATGAAGGTTTTGCATGAGCTGAAGGAGTAGCTCCAACACTACATCAAAAACTTTTGCATTTCCTAAAATTCATGCATGCAAACAACATACTTTTGCCCCCAATGAGTTTTCTCCCCACCCCACCCCACCTTTTGGTGATTAGATGTTATGTTGGGAGGGGAATAAACTTCTTCAGGGTTACTTGGAAGTTATCATTATAGAATGCATCAAATCTTTGTGAAAGCTTATCTTCCCAGGTCAGTTTTGTCCTGGGACATTGCTCATCTCCCAGAATGAGGGGATGATGTAAGGACACTAAAAATTTGCTGAGGTTTTGCCAGCCAAATGCTTTCTCCTTTCAATCTGAATACATCACTGCAGGATCCCGGGGGTGAGTCTCTGAGGGGAGTGAGAAGGGCAGGGTAATTAGGGAGGCTTACTTCCCTAATTTCTTGAGCATCTGCTATCTGCCTGGCACTGGACAAGATGCGTGACATGTAGAGTCATGCTTCAATTTTACAACAACCCAGCAAAGCCATGACTTCTCATTTTATACATGAGAATACTGAAATCCAGGTAAATACTCATAGTGAGTAAGTGGTAGGTCTAATATTTTACCCAAGACCATAAGACTCCACAGACCTTTTCCTCTTCATACATACCCTCCACAACTACCTGTTCCCTCATGGGATGGACAAGAAGCAGATAAACTCTTTTAATATAATTTCCACTTTTGGAAAAAGTTAGAGCACAATGTTATTTTAAAATAGAAATAAAATGTTACCCATGTTTGAAAGGAAGTAGCTTTTTTTCAAAATCATCTAGGTTTTAAGAAAACAGCCAACTGGTTTTATTAAGTTTTCTAAGTGATCAGTTGAAACGAATTGATTCTCATAACCACAGCACAAATGTAATTGGCGTAACAGATTTATTGAGCATCTTAACTTAGAGCGAGTGTCTTGTGAGACTATGTATAATCACTTTCCAGAGAAGGAACTTCAGTGTCAGCCAAAGAAATGATCACTTACAGAGGGGAAAAAAATAGACTAGGCGATTCCATCTAAGTGCTTTCAGGGTTTCCATGACAACCACAATTAGCACCATTTAATAAGAAAACAATGGATTTCCGGGCTCAGATTTACAGTTAAATACATGTCTTCTAATTTATTTCTACTATTAGAAATTCAAAGAGGTAACTGAATCCCATACTGTGGCTGCGCCTGAACATGCTTTCCAGAATTTCTGAGGTGGTGGGACAATCACATCATTAACATAAACAGTATTGATCGTGTGATAAGGACTAAGATAAATGTGCTCTAGAAATCCCACCTGAACACTTAGCACCATCCCAAATCGATCACTGTCTGGGACAAATAAGAACGGACAAGTTCTTTGTACCAAAATGACCGAAAGACAAAAGGGATTCCCCCTGCTATACCCCCATTTTTGGCTGCACAGATCACTCCCAATTACAAAGGTTAAATAAAGGCAAATCAATAAGCTGCAACTGTCAGCATTTCATGATTAGGCCCATAAAACCTTTCTGATCACCCTTTTCTCTTGCCTTGGCTTTTGAGAATGCAGAAATATGGCCACATCAATTCTCAAGCATATAAACTTGGCTGTGACTACGGCCTGCCTTTCGCTGAGTCAGCACAGAGTCAGGCTACGAAGTAACGGTGCTATAGATCCAGCTTTTCCTACCCGGCATATGTTTTGTTGCAATGCCCTCCACTGCTGGCACGTTTTGTACATCAGCCTTCTTCTCTTAGCTGGTCCTGTTGTTTGAGGTTTCTAGCATGTCACGACTTAATATGCTCCAAAAATTTTACTCTGTACAAAAAGATCATTTTTTTCTCCATATACACAGGGTGGGACAGAAACATTTATAAGCAATTTTGGTAATGACGGTAGTTACTTTGTGTTCATTAGTGGACGGCACTTTGCACACATTCTTTCACTTAATCCTCACAACACTATGAGGGAAGTATCATTATTATCTTCATTTTACAGCTCAAAAATAACCTAACCCCAGAGAAGTAACAGACCCAAATCACACAGTCAGCCAGTGGCCATGTACCAAATAAACGTGAAGATTTGGATCCTAGCAGCCTGGCCTAGGACTGGCTCAGTAAAGACACTTATTCCAATTGCTAGGGTCTGAAATCATTTGGAATCCTACAATCCAAACAGATATTGTTAATGGAATGTATTCACACAAACTAAGATGTCTGCATCATGTCTTCCTGGCATTTCTTTCTTACAGGGTTTTGTCCTGAGAG